AATGTGTGTATGTGTGTGTTTGTGTCTTAGTTAAAAAAAAAAAAAAAGCTTAAAAATTAAAAACAAAACCATAAAATTTTTTAAGTGAAATAAGCCAGGCACAGAACCATATGTTCTCAGTCATACGTGTCAGCTAAACAAGTTGATCTCATAGAAGTAGAGAGCAGAACTGTGGTTTCTAGAGGTGGGGAGGATGTGGGGAGAAAAAGCCAGAGAGAAGTTGGTTAATGGATACAAAATTACAGCTAGAGAGGAGGAAAAAGTCCTGGTGTTCCATAGCATTGAAGGACAACTATAATTAAGGATAATTTATACTGTTTTCAAATAGTGAGAAGAGGATTTTGAATGCTCCGAACACAAAGAAATGATAACGTTTGCTATGCTGGTTATGCTAACTACCCTGATCTGATCATTACACACTGGTCCATGCATCAAAATATCCTACTGTACCCCATACATATGAACAATTATGTGTCAATGAAAAATAATTTAAAAATTATAAGAAAATAGAAAAAAGTTCCTAGAATAAAGATATGAAGAAAAAAATATCTTTGTACAGCTGTACAGTGTGATTATGTTTTACACTGTGCCATCACAAAAGTCCAAAGCTTAAAAAATTTAAAGGTTGTAAAGCAAAGCAAAAAAAAATTGACATACAAATTAACTATCGAAGAAAGAAATTAAAAAAAATAAGTTTAGTGCAGCCTAAGTATACAGTGTTTACAAGGTCCATAGTAGCGTACAGGGATGTCCTAGACGTTTGCATTCACATGCCACCCACTCACTGACACCCAATGCAACTTCCAGTGCTGCAAGCTCCATTCATGGTAAGGGTCCTATACAAATGTACCATTTTTTTTTTAATCTTTTTAATCATATTTTACTGCACCTTTCCTATGTTTAGATACACACATACCTACCATTGTGTAGTAGTCTGCCTGCAGCAGTCATCACAGTAACATGCGGCGGTACAGGTTTGCGGCCTGGGAGCAATCGGCCATACCATACAGCCTAGGTGTGCAGTGGGCCAGACCACCTAGGCTTGTGTAAGTACTCTCTGATGTTTGCACAACAAAATGCAATTCTCAGAACATACCGCCATCATTAAGCAATATATGACTGAAAACCACATCTTAGCTTTCAACCTTTTTGAGGACAATAAACTAGAGAACCCTGTTTTTGCCCTGAGGCAAAGTAATCTTTGAATGTGGAATGCATACATCCCATTACTAATTTTATTTGGTGTTTTTACAGACAATGTCTCAATATGTTGCTGAGGCTGGCCTCAAACTCCTGGGCTCAAGCAATCCTCCCACCTCAGCCTCCAGAATAGCTGGGGCTACAGGCATGTGCTACTGAGCCCAGCTCTATTCTCAACTTTAGTTGAAAGAGGCAAACTGTTGTATGTATTTGAGGGAGTTTAAATAAGTCAGGACAACATGTTTAAAAGTACACTTAATAGTACCAGGAAATATTAATAAAATAGGAGTGTTCACAGCCTTTCTTTCTTTAGAGAATCTTCTTTATGGCTTCCTGAGAGATGGAGGTAACAGGTAAGACAGAGAGAACTTAGGAAACCCAAGAGGATAAGCTTAACTTATATAGGAAAGCGCAGAAGTGAATTGAATAGACGCTGAATAGGAGAAGGCAGAACAATATAGGCTGGGTTTGGGAAAGGTTCTTTTGGAGTTTAATGAGTGGGAGGAGAGAGAATTTGGGGGACTTTTGTACTTACCATTTATTTTTTACTGAGAGAACTATTAAGAAGATTTGCTGGCTGGGCGCGGTGGCTCAAGCCTGTAATCCCAACACTTTGGGAGGCTGAGGCGGGTGGATCACAAGGTCAAGAGATCGAGACCATCCTGGTCAACACGGTGAAACCCCGTCTCTACTAAAACTACAAAAAATTAGCTGGGCATGGTGGCGCATGCCTGTAATCCCAGCTACTCAGGAGGTTGAGGCAGGAGAATTGCCTGAACCCAGGAGGCAGAGGTTGCGGTGAGCCGAGATCGCGCCATTGCACTCCAGCCTGGGTAACAAGAGTGAAACTCTGTCTCAAAAAAAAAAAAAAAAAAAGAAGATTTGCTTTGTGATTTAAATGGGGTTCACCTTTGTTGTTTTTGACAGACCTTGTGAAAACTTAATTTGCTTTTCAAGTATTCCTTTGTGGCAGGACCATTTGTCTTTGAAGGGGAAGCCTTGGAGATGGGCTCAATGGTGGATGAAAAAGACTAGGATTTGTGAAAGTGACACAAGTGCCCATCTAAGAGGGAGAAGTGCCTGCTTACCTTCTACTACCTGGGTTAAGATATCTCTTTGGGAGGAGAATGATTGAACCTAACAGAAAAATATTTAGCTCTTTTGAATTCTCGGAGGTAATCCGGAGTGGTGAAATATGTGAGGCTAAGCAAGAACTGATGAAAGGACTAAAAGGTATTTAAGAGTAGTCTTGGTATGAAAGCCAAATGGGAGTTAGAGATTCTAAGAAAAATATTACAATCAAATGTGAGTTAAACGGAAAAGGAATTATTGAAAATTGAAGTTTTTTCCTTTCACACCTATAATTTTTATTACTTTTTAAGAACACTTACCAGAATACTGAGCAGTTGGTTGCATATTGCCCACAGTTCTTCTTTGGTCTTTATAATCTGGAGGTGGCCTTGACAAATGTCGGTTTATCTGATCTTGTGGAGCCATTTTCTCCTTAAGAAATGATATGAGAACAAATGAAAACACATTAAATTGTATCATTCCATTTTCACTTGTGAAAATGCATGTAAAATTTTGTAAAATTTCAGAAAAGAACAATTTTGCAATCATGGGTTACAAATCATGACCTTATTTCATAGTCTTAATTCAGAGACAAATCTTTTCGATTTCAATAAACTTTCTGTATGGAAGTATCATTTCTACTTCTCCATAACACTCAACATGTGTTTTGGTTTTAGTAACTACTCTTATTTTCTTTATTTTGCAATTTGATTTCAATGAGAACTAAATTTCTGTGATTTTCAAGATTCTAATTTCTAATTTTATGCTGTAGCACACCTGATATACTTTGGCAGGTACCTACATATAGTTCTGGTCCCACAGAGTGGGAAAAGCATAGGAGTAGGGTTTTCAGATAAAATACAGAATACCTGGGCATTCTGTATTCTTATTTGTTAAATCTCATAACCCTAAGTAGGAGGAGATATCAGGAGATAACCAACAGATAATGATATAGACACTATATCAATGTGATCTCTTTTTTTAAACCTCCTCATAAACAATTCTTAAAAGTAGGTATGATTATTTCCACCTAAAAAATGAGGAAATGGAAGCCTTGTTTGGCTAAGTAACTTGTTCAAGATCACACAGTGGTAGAACCGAGACCAAATCCTGAGTCCAAAACTCAGCTCTTTCCTGACACATAGTATGAGGGCCCCTTGCTACTCTGTTCTCAGCTCCCCATTCTAAAAACACAGGTTCCCTAGCCTCCCTTCATCTCTTCCTTCTGGAATCAGCCTTTTGATCTTTAGAATAGGAGAGTTTGGAAGCTAAGAGAAAAAAATAGAGACATTCTTTTAATATGTCAATATCCTCAGCCAGAGACCACCAGGAACACAGCTGTTGGGTTTATTACTTGCTGCAGCAAGGAAGAACACACAACATGAGGGGCACAGGGTATCTCAGCAGGAGAATGTTAGAAAGACTCTGTCCTAAGATTTGGACTTTGAGTGACTTAGGGAGGGTCTAAGGAAATGGGGCTTTGTCCTAGATTGGAAGATGTCAGAAAGTAAAGTCAGTTCTAACTGAATAAAGAAGTAGCTATCACTCATTTAACAAGAGACAGGGGGGTTTGGCATTTTGGAGGTTGCACAGAGACCTTGTTTGTGCCTGTTTTTAGACAAAATGATGAAGTCTTATTTTGTCTCATTTTATTATGGTCTCAGAGTAACCCTGTCTGAGATTGACAATCGGTAGGATTGTTTATACCCAGCAGAGAACAAAATGGCTTGGCTGTGAGTGTCATATCAGCTTTGGGAATTTAGGGCTGCTTTTTTTCTTCTTTGGTATGGATCAAGGAGTTTTTAGAATTACTTAACTGCAATTTTGTATGCACACCAAAGCAACCTCAATTTTCAAGATAAAAATAATCAGCCCAGGTAGATAGAGAACACTGGAATTATAGAAAGGTCAACAAATAAAAAACTTTGTAGTAGATACATGGGTAAATTAGCTGGAAGACAAATGTGCACTGCCTAACTTAGAACTGACTTAAACCATGTGTTTCTCAGTTTCCCATCAAATTCCAGACCTTCTTAGTAGAATAAATCTACTATAAAGGAGGGGAAAAAGCCTTAAAACAACAACAAACCAAATTTAAATTCTTGTTGCTAAGAAAAAAGCTTGAAAGACACAGTTTTTTGCACATAAGTAATTCATATAAAACACAATTTTGATGAGCTAAGTGTAAATGAATCAGAAACATATGGATTGCATTTATTTTAAACATGGGTTTATAAATTAAGGGAAAAAGTGGTTGGTGAAATGCTTTTTGGTTTTGCCCAACCCCTAAATGTTTAAGAAACAGCTTGAGATGTTCCATGAACCCAAATGTGGCGATGTTCAACCAGCCCTGTGGTAAACTGTTGTATAGGATGACAGTTTTGATTTTTATACCAAGCATGGGACTTTCTGAAATTCCCTTTTTCCAAAAGCATCTGTCACTCTTCCTTATGTAATTAGGTGTTTCTACTGTTTATACTGAAGAAGACAGGGTGTGTATGTGTGAGTGTGTGTGTGGGCAAGAGAGAGAGAGAGACAGAGAGAGAGAGAAAAAAGAGAGAGAGAGATAAAGAGAGAGAAGAAGGTCCTTGACCTCCCATCATAGACTATATTGCAAAATAATTATTGACTTTTTTTTTTTTTTTAGATGGAGTCTCGCTTTGTCACCCAGGCTGGAGTCCAGTGGCATGATCTCGGCTCACGGCAACCTCCACCTCCTGGGTTCAAGTGATTCTCCCACCTCAGCCTCTCGAGTAGCTGGGATTACAGGTGCCTGCCATCATGCCTAGCTAATTATTGTATTTTTTTAGTAGAGACGGGATTTCACTATGTTCGTCAGGCTTATCCACACCAGGGGGCTAAATTGTTGTTCAAAGGGTTTTCATATATGTGTGTGTGTGTGTGTGTGTGTGTCTCCAGAAATTTAGGTTTCTCAAACTACTTGTTCACAGATGAATTAGACTAATAACCTTGCATATGGACATAACATAGAACTTCCATGTTGTCCCTTTGTGTTGAAGAGCAGCAAAGACTAGAGAGCAATACTGAATAGAGATGGCTACATTTTGCAAAAGAATTACATTCTCATTCTGTGCAAATATAAACATATAGGCCATTCCTGAGATTACTTTTCTGCAAAATGAAATTTAATTTATGAACTAATATCTAATGATAACCCAATCTCTTGGACCTGAAAACCCATTATAGAAATCATTTGTTATCATACGTATCTGTTCTGTTTCAGTTTCTCCATCTGTAAAAATGTGAGATGTGGATAATTATAGGACCTCCGTCATATTCCTATTAATTCTGTGAAAATCCAGCTTGGTGCCTGGAACACAGTAGGTGCACAATGCATGTTGGTAATTATGATGTCTGTTGTAAGAAGTACTATTCATGTCGCTTATTTGTGCCTCATTGGTAGGAGAATAAAAGAGAATAAGGATAACAAACTTTCATGAGAAAAAGTCTCAATTTAGGTGCCTATGTGGCCTTGCCAACTGACTGCAAAGGACCACAAAGCATATGCTAATGTACAGTGGTATCAAAGACCACTTCTTCCTGGATGTGCTAAAAAGCACAGACACCCTCAATGGTGTCCAAACAAAAAGAAAAGTGGATGGTTTTTAAAAATCACAAAAACAGCAGCCTCATTCATCGCACACAATTTAATGCCACTGCTCTTTGCACCTGTCTTAGTGGTGACTCAAGCGGGGCCCAGTGGGAGGCCAGAACCAGGCCAGTGCCAGGCCAGAACCCTTATGGAATGTGTATGCTACCACTTCCTTGTCTTTTAACAAGAGCTGAAAATCAACCTGTGTGTGTTATAATTCATGAAACTAGTAGTATTGATGGTAGTGATGAAAGTGTACCCAGTAAGTCAACCTTAGATTATACATGTTTCTCTCTATTGCCCTTGTTTCTAAGTTCTTTAGTTTATAAGGATAAAAAATGGGAGGGGAAGGGAACAGCGGGGAGGACGGGAGTTTTCAAAACTATGATTTCTAGAAGAAGCCAGTTGTGTCACTTTGTGATCCAGTCTGTGACTCCCTTAAACTTTATGGCAGCACTCAAGGTCATCTGTAATATTATTTCTCACTATTCCTTAGTCCAGGCCAAATAAATTTATTTCTAATTATTTCTTTTCATATGTCCTGAATATGAAACTTATTCCACTGGTAATTCCTTAAAAAAAAGTGATTGTTATGCTGTGTTTACTTTTTATCAGGGATTAAATATTTCATAATGCAATCTCAAACTAACCAACAAATTGACACCCAGGCTGTCCTTTTGGTGGCTGGTCCACCCTCCACCTATAATAGTGGACCCCACCTACTTGCCTATCAGAATCCTACAGTCCTTCAAAATCAATGTCAAATTCTGCCTCTTTGAGAGACTATCCTCAATCTTTTCAGGCTGGATTTAGTCTTTCTCTCTATTACATTTTCTCTTACTATTTTTATACTTTTACTACAATGCAAATGTGAATCTAGTGCCTCTCCTTCTGTTAAATCCTTAAAATCTCTTCCATTGCTTTTCAATGTAAATTCTGGTCTTTCAAGCCCCACCCTCCCGGCTCTTACCTGTGGCATCTTTACCCATCATTTCCCCATTCTTGTGCACACTCAATGCCTTGGCAGACATAATATGGAGTATTCTAAGACCTATTGTCCCTAGGTCTTTGAATATGCTGGCTCTTCTGGCTAAAATAACCCTCCTGCTCTCCTCTCATCTTCTACTCCACTTTCAGATATTCAGTAGATAGAATGTTCTTTCTGAATCATTTCTAGTAGTTCCCAGAGTATAGCATTTAATCACATGGATTACAGTTGGCCAATTTATTTGACACATCCTCAGTGGGCTCAAGGATTCTTTAGGGTTAGGAGAGGATTTGCCTTGTTTATGGCTCTACCCTCATTGCAAATTAATATTTACTGATAATTACAACATGTGTTGCGTCCTGCATTTCTGACTTTTACTGCAAAGCTCCTTGAATATAAGATTATTTGATTTTGTTTTTCTCTTTTCTGTGTACCTTAGTTCTACTCACCTGGAGATGGTTACCTGTACTTCTTATTTCATTTGGCCAAATAGTTTGAAGGGAGACAATGAAACTAGGGCTGAGCAGATAAATACTGAAGCAGGGTTAATGCATGGGTAGTGTGTGGGCAGCACAATCTTGTCTTTCTTAAAAAGTCAAATATTAGGTTGGTGCAAAAGTGATTGTGGTTTTTGCCATTAGTAGTGGCAAAAAACCCCAATCACTTTTGCACCAACCTAATAAACACAGGGCAAATGGGAAATGTATTTATATTTTCTTTTTAAAAAAATTCCCCATTGTGAGTTGCTTTATTTTGGAAGCCAAATCTTTGTTTTAAGGCTCCATGTTGGCTTTTCAAATTGTTTTTAAAACTCTTATCTCTAAAATCAGTTTGTATTTGAGTTGATTCAAGTTCAGTTTACTACTTCTGCCCCTTAAGCCTGGGGAACAACAGTGGTTTATTTTGCGTGATTCAAATGCCCATGTTGGTTGTTCTAGACATTCCTGGGCTGGGCTGGGCAGGGCTGGTTAGCAGAGGTGCCATGCATTCCAAGGGTCTAGCAGCTGTTAAATCAAGTTTTGTTTTGTTTTTTTCTTCTTCCTGCAGTACACTAAATATATGAAATTATCCTCTCTTACAGTCAGGACGCCTTTGTTGCTGTCATATATCAGGTACAGTAAATATAGATAGAAAAGAATAAATTCTCTCTGTTGGGTCAACAGGTTGGTTCAGTAGAAATTAAGAGAAAATTTTACCGCATCAGCCAGCATCTGCTGCTGGAGAAGAAGTTGCTGTTTCTGCTCCATGATCTGCCTCTGTAGAGTCTGCTTCTTTCCCATCAATTGCTGATTCAACAGTGATTGCTGGGAGTTCATGTAACCACTTCCAGTGTTTGGATTTGAGCAGGGGTTGGGACTTGGACTGGGGCCTGTATTCTGGCCTACCACAGAGTGTTGATCCTAAAGAAGAGAAAGGGGGGAAGGAAAAGCTACTGTGAATTTAAAAAAAAAAAGAAAAATGTAGCACAAACGTTATATACTCAGATTCCAAACATTTTTCATCTTATTAAAGCTCAAACATGGTTAATGGTTTAGAGATCAGAGAATCGCTTTTTAAATGTAGAAGAAATAATTGCATATCACAGCAACCAAAGCAGCTGGGTTAATGACATTAGGGCACTGGAAAAACTCCCACTGGACTCTGATGGTGGAACTTCCACATTCCAGAAGGTGTTTATGGAACCTCAAAGAAAACTACCATAAGGACATATGGCAAACCTCTCAATTTCTCAGGAATAAACACCATAGTGTAACAAATCCTTCCTTTTCCCAAAGTTAGCAGGTATCATTGCTGATCCTGCAATGAAAATCATATTTTAATTCACGTGTTTAAAAGTTGAAATCATTTTGGACAGAAGGCATTTTGCCTTGCCCAGTTTTCTGCAACTGAAAGGCAGGAAGGCCTGTGAGTTTCTGTTTTATAAACTCAAACTTGGAAAGAACTTCACTTCTCAGGGACTTGTTAATTTTGTTTCCTGGTCAACACTTCAGGTATCTTGGTACAAGAATCTCAGTAAAAGAAAACCTAACACACTGACAATGAGAAAATATTGATTAAAAACTCAATTATGTATCAAATAACATTGGGTCCTAGTGAGCTGCCTTTCTAATGTGAGGTCTCTACCAATTTTTTGGTATTGACAAATCAGGACTCTTCAAGACGGCAAGCTAAACCCAGTCAAATATTCTCATTAATTCCCAATGATACATTTAGGATTGAGCTCTACACGAGTACACTAGTGGGGTTACAAGAAGATTAGTAAATATGGTCATCACTCTAGAGAATTTATCACCCAAGTGAGGGAGAAATGCTTACACATATAAATACAAGAAAATATACAGTCAAATTTTAGATTAAAATGGACTATATGATAAAAACAGTAAGTCAAAAATAGCTATACTTTGATCAGAATGATCTGGGAAGCAGCTTATAAGTCAGATGTCCTGGCCTTGTCCCAGGGATTCTGAGGCTATAGATAAGAGTACCTCCTTAGGTCATTCTTATACTCAGTGGCACAGGGAATATGCTTTGGGAAATACTGATTATATGGGGACAAAAGAAACCCAACTCTTTCTCTCTTTTTTTCTTTATTTTTTTTAAGAGACAGAGTCTCACTCTGTCACCCAAGCTGCAGTGCAGTGGCACAATTATGGCTCACTGCAGGCTTCAACTCCCAGACTCAAGCAAACCTTCTACCTTAGCCTCCCAAGTAGCTGGGACCACAGGTGTGTGCCACCTCACCTGGCTAATTTTTAAATTTTTTGTAGAGATGGGGTCTTACTATATTGCCCAGGCTGGTCTCAAACTCTAGGGCTCAAGTGATCCTAGATCCTTGACCTCCCACAGTGCTGGGATTACAGGCATGAGTCACCGCGCCTGGCAAAAAAATCCACATCATTCACCAACCAAACTGTGTGAGGTTACAAGACATAAAAACATAAAGCAGGGAGTTGGGTGTGGTGGCTCACGCCTATAATCCCAGCACGTTGGAAGGCTGAGACGGGCAGATCACCTGTGGTCAAGAGTTCGAGACCAGCCTGGCCAACATGGTGACACCCTGTCTCTACCAAAAATGCAAAAATTAGCCAGGTGTGTTGGCACGCGTCTGTAATCCCAGTTACTCGGGAAGCTGAGGCATGAGAATCACTTGAACCCAAGAGGCAGAGG